ACGTAAGTTATGTCGTTCCCGCTAACTAACGAACTACGGCTTACTAACCTCATAAACGGAGAGAGGTAAGGAAGGCCAGTAAGTGAATAAAGTTAATATTCAAAATGTGCAACGACCTGACCAAAGAGCATGCAAGCGGCGCGAAGCTTACAAGCGGCGGAGTCTTCGTCACGTTAAAACAAATGCTACATTAAAACAAACGTGACAACATTGTCAAAGGTCAAGTAGTCAAGTACTTCAGCACAGACCCGAATATTAGGGCACAGAGGGCCGGTAGACAGTTTAACATGGATTTAGTAGGCTATCAATTCAAGTTCCTCGTAATGTCATTTTGCGCTGCGCTCTTAAGCTAATGTTGGCACATTGGCGGTGTTCTAAATAGATTGATGGAACGGACTGCATGAGAAAAGGCTAACCTTTTTATCGGAAAAGGCCATATCTGCCGGAATTTTTGAAAGTCTATAGCGTCGGAAGTATTCCCGCAAGTCATAAGATTCATATTTGATTGAGTATAAAGGTTTCCTGGTTAACTGAACGCATATTTGCGCCTGAAACAGCCAGTGGTCCTATTTGCTTTCGAGAAATGGTGTCGAGCTGACCACTTGGTTTGGGAAGCGGTTGTATCATCTGTTTTTCGCAATCCTCCAAAATCTCGCGGAGAATATGCAACATCGGCTCTAGTAACTTGGCAGCCGGTGAACCACTTTCATTCATTCATGCATGTAATATCCCAGACGCGCACGCAACCCAAGAAACTGTTACACTTCATCCAGAAGCACATATTTCATTGAAAACTGAAAGCTCTGGTGGTTAACTGAGCGGGTTTCTTTGTGAACTAAAGTGACAACGTGCTTGAGGTCGTGCTGTAAAGGTCTCCTTGAGACAACTACGTGAAGCCTGTAGTTAATATTTAAAGACAATTTGATACAAGCTTTTCTGTACCTTACCTGGGCCTGGTGTTCTGACTAAGAAACTGAAGTATATTCATCAGTTTCGCAGAACTATTAATTAGCAGTTATGGAGGCAACACTGGTAGTAGTGTTTGTAGTGGACGTGCTAGTTTATTCCGAAATATTAATTTTTGTCCGCAGAGACCTCGCCTGCATGAGAAATACCTAATGTCTTACTGTTACGCGAAGTGCAAAATTAAAATAGATTTGGCCGTTTGGTTGGTGAGGTCAGATTCATGTAGACTAGAAGTGGTCGGTTACTACCCTGATGGTACCATCCCCTCCAGGCCTTGTCTGGTCTGGCAGGGCTGGTTTGGGCTGTGAGGAGGTTACCTGGGGATGTGAGAGGAGCTGTGGCGTGGAGTACAACAGCCAAGCCCCTCTGGCCCCGCCACCGAGAAAAATATGCGCTGGAAGACGTCTCCTCGTCCTCCGTTTTGACACCTGTCGCTAATATCGATTTTTGAGTTTACAGTTAACTCCTGGGGGGCATTACTGTATCACCCTTCCATGTAGCTCGTCGAAACCACGAAACTTCGTACTCCAGACGACCACGCCTTAATTTTGTTAGAAACTTTACAACTGATGTTAAAAAATTATTTTTCACAGGAACCCATCGTATAAATTTTACCAAATATCTTCTGAAACGTGGCTTACTAAAGATATCGCAGAGTCAGAAATATCACCTAGATGATATCAGTAATTCACGGAGACAGACTAAGCCGAGGAGGAGGAGGAGTCATAATTTATGTCACTTGCAAGCTGACCACTATGGCTGATGTACATAGTCTGGCATGGGATGCGGAACTGTTAGGCGTTACTATTTCTGCTAATAATGTCAGATCACTGACACTTTCGGTGGTGTACGGTTCACCAAACCATACTTCCGAGCAGGATATCATGCTCAAAACTGAACTGCACAAAGCCAGTGAGAAGAAATATTGTCCTTATCGTTGGGGATTTTAAACCTCCTGGCATTGATTGGCTAACGTTTACTGGGCAAGGGCAGCAAGACAATTTTAGTCCCTCACTACTACATTGGGAAGCGGATAAACGTCTCTGTCAGAACATTAACTTTAGAACGCGCGCCAGGGAAAGACAGCCGTTGAACTGCCTCTATCTTATTCTTTCCCGAGAGGAGGAAAATGTGTTAGTCCTGCAGGACCGACTGCCATTGGGACCAAGCGACCACATCAAGCTCTACGTCGAGTACTCACTGTTTTCCAAACCCATTCAGCTTCATAAGTGGAAGAGAAACGTTTAAAGGGGACTTTTCTCTCATGAGGAGAGAAGCAGCAGCTGTATCGTGGGGGACTAAACTGCATGGTCGGGTAAACAAAAAATTGAATACTTTCATTTCCTTACTGAAAGAGTGTGTTTATTACAGTTGTCCTTCAAGAAAAAAGACAATTACAAACCGCCCAATGTGGATAAGTTCGGATTTAAAGGACTCTTTCAGAAAAAGGAATCGTCTGTGGAGGAGTTACAGACTAACTGGTTCCATAAGAACACCTGCAGAAATATGACCAGCAGCGCAACGATAGTAAAGGTGAGGCCCTCAGAATGCAAAGGAAGTGCGAACTGAACGTACTGCAAAATTAGTTGGAGCATTCCAGGAATTATACATGGCTATATGCGAAGTACTAAAAGGACTCAGGAGCTGGTCTCTGCCCTCAGGTCCGCAGATGGAAAAGTAGAGACTGATGACCAGGTTAAAGCATCACTCCTGTCTAATTTTGTTCAGTCCGCCTTCATCCAAGAACCCATCCATCCGTTCGCCAACTAACCTCTCCCCCTTGTCTCCTTCCCCTCTCACTCATTCCCGCCCTCCTTAATGGAGGAACTACTCTTCTCTTTGACAACAGTTAAGGTCGAACTAGCGCTTGCAACTGCGAGTAAAACGCGTAATTATCGCGCTGTTCTGCAGCCGAAGTTGGTGCGTACACAGAGACGATTGAGATTTCTGTGAAGAGACCCTTCAGTCGCTCGCAGGCCATCCGGTCACTGGCTGGTTCCCAAGCAAATCGCGCGGATTCCGCTTGTTGTCATACGGCGTTCGCCACACTGTGTCGACCAGAAGAGTTGCGCGGGCCGCTGTGGTACAGGGTAAAGTGTAATTCGACTCCAGGAATCTTTATGTCTCGAGAGACTAAGTCAGGAAGTCGAACTCCAGTCAGACTGCAGACATCCACGTTGAACTGATCAGGGCTGCACGCGGTCAGTCTTTGGGAACCGGGGTCCAGGAACGTTCGCACATTCTGGCACCCAATACTAATAGTCTGTCCTCTATTGAGTAGTCCAGCTCGCATACTATTCGCCCGCAGCACTGGACCAGGGTTGCGGAACGTGTCAGTTCCCGCGGACGTCGTAGCATGGGTCGTACTACGGTGATCAGACATATTTCGTGAGGTTTCCTGGGACTCTCGAATACGGGCGGGTCTTCAACAGCTGCTGGGATTGCTTGTTCGAGGTTGTCTCCTCTAGCGCTTTGGCTTAAAAGTCAAACCACAAGGCAGCGGTGGCAGGCGAACATAATTAATAGCGGTTTACAGTCGCCATGCCACAATGCCGTCATCGGGCTTTTCGGCTTTTTATAAGGCTTTCAGCTTGCCAGACGTCAGCCCACCGCACCCTGGCAGCAATGTCGTTACTGGTCCGCTACTGCTTATTCGTCAGACCTGGGTCTGTTTATTTCGCAGTTAACTTTCACTGAAGGTCGTCCCACTATCCGCTACCTGTGGATGCCCCGGGTAGCCAGCAGCTAGGTCAACATGCAACCCGTCTTCCCTGCGGCAATCCGTCTTCCAGTGTCCCCCAATGCAATCAGAATCGGGCAGTCAACGACGTTAATTATCCTACCAGGAAGCTAAGTACATGTTTTTCAACAAAGGCAGTCATAGTGATTTATTTTCTGGGTCGTTTCCTGGCGTTTATTCCGGCCACCATATCGGTCACTCAAACTGTGAAACCAGTCACTGGCCTTTTTACGCACAAAGTGACTAACGCAGGGACTGAAAGCAATGTTGTGACAGATGGCCCCTCTAAGTGTTACAAATGAATTACATTTACAATTAAAATAGTGCATATTGGGCTTTTTACCTGCATCTGTTGCAAAATCATGGAGAAGCCTTGTGCAGTTACTCGAGCAGCATCACACCCTCTCCGTTGCCTTACACGGCTCTCGAAGTGGTATGTCCTGTTTCACGAATCGGCTCCTTTCACCCGAACGCTGAACCAAAGCACACAACGAAGGCGATGCGTGCACGCGATTTACATCGACTTCAAAAGAGCCTTCGACAGCGTTCCTCATCAACGTATCTTGCAAAAACTTCGGAATGCAGGAATTCGTAGATACTTTCTTGCATGGACCCAGAGCTTTTTCTACCGGACGGTCCCAAGGATTGCAAGTCCGACGGCAACAGTCCTCGGAAGTAAGCGTGGTGAACGGCATCCCACAGGAATCAGTCTTAGGCCCCGCGTTAATCCTCGTTTGCTTGAGTGACTGCGTCAAGGACCTAGACTGTGATGTCATCCTGTTTGCCGACGACATTAAAATGTGGAAAGTTATTCACAAAGCGTCAGACGCAGACCGCCTGCTGGCAAACTTCAACAGGCTCGAAGACTGGTCGAAGCGCTGGCTTTGTAGCAGTTCGCGTCTCCTCACCCTCCGCCTTTGTCATGCTGCCCTCCTGTCCGCCTCACACTCCGTGTCGATACGCTGCAGGGACGCGCAAGTGCTCGAAGCCATTCAACGCTGTCCCCACTCTGATTGGCTGGCGACGTGGAGACAACGAAAGCCCCTACACGCGCTGACACAACACCTCGAGGGCAGACGCAGACAACAGCTTGCTTGGAGCGCGCTTGCGGCGACTGCCCACACAGCCTTTGTGTACACGCTTTCCAAGCAGTAAAGTTTGTCCAACTCAAACCGTCTTCCCTGACTTTCGATTGGGAATCTTTATCTTGTCGACCACACAACCTACGACGATTGGTGACTCCTTGCGAACAGCAACCCTTCTCCCTAATCTACGATAAAGTCAGGTGTTGATCATGGACACTTTTCCACCGGAAGTGCAGCATATTTTGGCACACGCCTTCGGCATTCTTTTGGCCACGCAACTTACTCAGATGGCTGATCGGCTTATGGAGATGCACGGTTTTTCCAAGCCGTCTATTTCAGCACTCTCAACTCCCTCATCTCCTCCTGCGTCTTCCATTTCGCAGTTAGAGATCGAGCTCAACAAGCTGGCCGATGATATAGCCGCTCTCCAGAAGCCCACAGTTTCTGCCTCATCTCGGAGCCAACCGCAGCCGTCCACCCCGCATGTCCAGTCTTCTCATTCAGCCAGTCCAAACGCAGCTGCCACCTGCTGGTACCACTCAACTTTCGGTGCTAAGGTCCGTCGCTGCGTCTCTCCTTGCTCCTTCACTTTCAAGCAGAACAAACGGGTAAAACCGGTCAGCCGGAAGGTCAGTGCAAGCAATCTTTCCGACAGCTCTAACCCTGGTCGCACATTTTACGTCCGCGACACCAGGAGTGGCAAACGTTTCTTGGTTGACACTGGTGCCCAGCTAAGTGTCATTCCACCCACACCAGCTGATCGTCGGTGCCCCAATCCCGGTCTTTTCCTACAGGCCGTCAGCACATCGCCTATTACCACATTTGGCACCTGCTCTCTCTCTCTGGACATCGGTCTCCGGCGTCTCTTCCCTTGGGTCTTCGTCGTTGCTGACATCCCCTGTGCAATTCTCGGTGCAGATTTCCTCGCCGCTTTCGATCTCCTGGTCGACTGCCGTCAGTCACGTCTACACGACAAGACTACCAACCTCACTGTCCGGGGTATCTCTTCATCAAGGTCAAGGCTCGCAGCTCAATTTCAAAGATAAGTGAAGCTCTGCATTTATCTGGATGTTCTTAAGTAATTAATGCCTGTTTTTTACTTGAGACCGTTTTAAAAGTCGCCTTTCTATATACGGTAAAAGTTTTTCCCAGTTTGTTTGACAGTCTGGCAAAATAGTCGTATTTTGTAAAAAATCCATTGTAGTGAATCCTTTCCCTACTACCGCTTTCTAGTTCCTTAGTTAAAAAACAGTAATACTTGCTACTCAGTGCGCGTTTCCGTACGCTGGCAACGTTTTGATCCTTCTTCTGTAACGAAAAACTTTTTTTGTCTGTAATGCCCCGCAGAGCACGTGCTAAAAGGCAAAAGCTTGCGGCCTCCCCACCGTCTCTGGGTGCTAAAATCGTGACTGAAGACATGGCAGACGCCAGCGTATGTTCTTCGCCGTCTGCAGATCTGATTAACTCACAAATCCCTTTAGTACATGTAGAACCTCTTGACGCTTCAGTCGTCCAAAAATACGCCTCTGCTAGTCGTAGCAGGCCATCAGCCGGCGAAATAATCGATCAGCTGATTTATGGAGACATAAACAGCACTTCTGAAAAAGTGCTCGAACAAGCTTTTAAACTTATTGGGGTAATAAGTTCGGAACCTGAGGAACGAATTAAACGCAAGCATAATTTCGTACTGCGAAACATTCCGAGCCACTTATCTGCTATGGAGGGAGCGCATGTGTTCCTACAAAGTTGTGGCTTGAGTTTTAGTGTCGCACAAGCTAAGCGACTTCGCTCGCTTAGTCGTAATGCGCCGATACTAGTTACCCTTTTCTCCATGATAGAAGTCGATTTTATCTTGTCGAGTAGGGAGATGACTAGAGACTTCTGCCGTAAATGGCGCTGCTCCGTTTCGCCAGACCTCACACCCCTGCAGCGAAGACTGAATAAACTGAAATCGGCAAAAACCAACACCAAGATAATGACACCTACTGTCAGTCTGAATATTTCCTCTACAACACCACCTGCGGCATCTGCAAGTCACGGCATAGTCAATTCCGTAGGGAGTTCGACTACTTTTAATGCTGACCTCTTTAAATACACCACCACGCCTCGTATAAACACGCCTCTATCGACTCCCTCAGCAACCCCTAGTAAGCCTAAGCATGTGCCTAAGTCAAAGGCAAATGCAATTGCTGTCTCAGCCACTCGGATGCCCAATAAATCCAGCACCAGTATAAAATGTTTTCCTCCACAATCGGCGAACAGTGCCTCAAATACCCCGACTCAAAACGTAGCGGGTTCGCAACTGCCCCCCAGCCCTCATATCAAGGCAGTTAGGCCGAATATGCCGATTTTCCCACCGTTTAATAGACCTCTTGTTCCAATGGAAACAGTGCGTCCCCCACCCCCTAACTTGTTTCCTCCACGGCCGTTTTACCAATTCATTCCTCATGATAATGTCCATACTGAATCAGTTAATTCATCCGATCCTCAGTTTCGTTCCGGCGGGAATACGTTGCAGTATCTGCCCCGCGGATTTCCAGCTGAAAATAAGTTAGCTAACAATAGTTATCAGTTTACCTGCCCGTCATTCCCTCCCCCAAGTCCTCCCCTTTTTTATCCACGTCAGAATTTTTTGATGCCACAAAATTTTTTGCAGAACCGGATTGTTGCATCCGGACCGTTTGCTCCGTGGGCGACCCAGAACTGGACGATGTAGCCCACCTCCCTCAAAAACTAACAGCCTTTCCCTTCAAACTTTTTGTTTCAAATGCCAGATCCTTGCTTAATAAGATGCCTTTGCTTCAGACTCAGGTGTTTGTCCATTGTCCTGGCATTGTTTTAGTAACTGAGACGTGGGCATCAGCCTCAGTAGCTGACTCCGAACTCTCTCTTCTAGGCTACAATTGCATTCGAAATGATCGCCAAGATAGCCGTGGTGGGGGCAGTTGCGTCTACGTTAAGCAAACACTTACATGTTTGCCGTTGGACCTCCCGCACCCTTCCGCAGTAGAAGGCAGCTGTTGGCTCCAGGTTGCACTAAAAAATAAGTTCTCCTTACTCGTTGGCTGCGTCTATCGCCCTCCCAACGCCAATGACAATTTTGATCGTTTACTCTCACGGGCATTTCATGCTGCGGCCGACTCAAGCTTTAAGTATCAACTGGTTGCGGGTGACTTTAATCTCCCTGAAGTCCGCTGGTCTCCGCCTTCAGGCCCCAGAAGGTTCGATGACTTTCTTGAGGCTGTGGATGTCGGGATGTGGACTCAGGTTGTTGATTTTCCCACCCGAGGCTCAAGTGTACTTGACTGAATTTTCTGTAGAGGCTGCTTGCCATCGTCAGTGTCATCCCTAGGCCCACTCGGGGGCTCAGACCATGACATAGTTGTTTCAACGTTGGAATTCGAGGCTGACGAAATGTCGTCCCAAAAGTATAACTTTTTCCGCGATTTCCGATCAACTCGCTCAACCGAATTATTAACACACCTTAATTCCTACGACTGGACTGATTTCTTCCTTAGTTCGGATGTAAATGTTTGCACTGCAAATCTGTACGAAATTTTGGATCCGCTTATTTCTCGTTTTGTCCCCCGTAAGAAAATTATTAATGTTGGAGATGAGGTTTTTCTACCCTTACCCTTTCGTCGCAGATTGCGCAGACTTTATCATCGTTTCCATCTGCAGAACGATGTTATTGTTCTGCCCTTGATTTGTGATATTTTTGATCGAGCTAAGAGATTGTCTGAAGAAAAACAGCTAGCCGAAGAGGTCCAGTCTACCGAAAACCATTCGTTAAATGTCTCGAAACTTTTCTCTAGAAAAATACGAACTCAGAGAAAGACGCAGTATCCCATCCTTCGAGACGATCTCGGAAATCCCATAGTTGATGCCCAGTTAACCGCGGATAGCTTCAGTTCAGTTCAGTTTATTGAGGGAAATAGGCGTAAGCCTTTGAGTACCCTATTTGCAACGTAAAAAATGTGTGGTGTACAGATAGATGTTCTGGGCTGAAATAGTTCGAACACGCCCATAATGGTGGGACAAAATGAGAAGGAGTTACAGGGGTGAGCTCGACTTCTCATCGCTCTTGGTCATTTCGGAACATAAATATGTCCTGATTCTTCTTAAAAATTTGTATAGATGGTGACATCACAACATCTGCGGGAAGCTCATTCCATGGTTTGACCACCCGAACCGCGAAGGAGAACTTCCGCACATTCAGCCGTGCCTGTTGAGTGCGCAGTTTTAACGGGTGACCTCGGAGGTTGGTCGTGGTAGCAAATTCTAAAAAGTCCTCGAAGGCCAGACTGCAATCCAACCCCTTTACAATGCGGAAGGCTTGCACGAGATCTCCGCGAAGTTGCCTGTAACTCAAAGGAAAGAGGTTCAGATTTACTAGGCGGGTTGCATATGGAAAGGAGCTTTGACCCCTAACCATCTTCGTGGCTCTCCTCTGGAGTCTTTCGAGGCAGTTTTGATCCACAACAGCCCACGGCCTCCAAGCTTGTATGCCGTACTCTAAATGCGGCCGGACGAATGTTCCGAATGTCTTAGAGAAAGCTTCTTCGTCAAAGTCCATAAACGCACGCTTGATGGCGTACAGTACGGACATTGCGCTTTTTGCTACCCTCGAACAGTGGGCGGATGGTTTTAGGGAACTCGTCGTAAGCACACCGAGGTCCTTTTGGGCTTCGACCTCTTGTAGGGCTGCACCGCCCAGAAAGTAGCCTCTTGTGCTGGCGGATCTGGTTGTGTTGCCTAGGCGAAGTATGCTACATTTGGCAACGTTGAACCGCAGGAGCCAACGGTTTGACCACTCCTCCAACCGATTCAGGTTCATCTGCAGTCTGTCTTCATCGGCAGGACCCCGTATTACACTCCATATCTTCATGTCATACGCAAACATTGCTACTTCACAGTCTAAATCTCTTGCGGCATCGTCCACGTAGATAAGGAACAAAATGGGTCCCATTACTGAACCCTGGGGGACACCACTATCGACCGTAGCCGGATCTGATTTTCCCCGACCGACGCACACAACCTGGTGTCGACCCACAAGGAAGTTCTCGATCCATTTAAGGAAGTTGCCACCGATCCCTATTTTTTTCAGCTTATGTAAGAGCCTTTGGTGTGGCACAGTGTCGAAAGCCTTCTGGAAGTCGATGAAGGCTATGTGGACCGCGTGCCTGTCGTCGAGAGTTCGGGTCCAGCTCTGCAGAGATTGCAGCAGGTTTGTCGTGCAGGATCTTTCTGCTCGGAACCCATGTTGGCATTTCGATAGCAGGCCGTGAACTTCCAGGAATTGTATCAGTTCACACTTTATGATCCTTTCCATAACTTTGCAGAGAATGCATGTCAAGCTTATGGGCCGGTAATTTGTCGTCGCTGCCCTGTTACCTCCTTTGTGTAGCGGAGTAATATGCGCCAGCTTCCAATCGATAAGAAGTGTTCCAGTATCAAATGACGTTTGAAAGAGCATCGACAAAGGCACAGAGAGCTCACTGGCAAGTTCCTTCAGAAGCTTGGGTGGGATCTCGTCTGGTCCTGGCGACTTCGATTCGTTCAATGCCTCTAATTCTCTTCGGACAATGCCTTCTGAGAAGAGTATATCACTGACGCTTGGAGTCGGCAGTTCTTCTGTGGAGGGAGGAAGGAATCTTGCCTCGTTTGTGTAGACTGATTGGAAAAACCGTGAAAATACGCAGCTTTATCCCTACTATCAGCGATCTCATTGCCATCAGTAGTCTTTATCAAAGGGGTTTGATGCCTGTTCCTTGTAGTTCGTCGGAGGTAGATGTAGAGCAATTTTGGGTTCTGCGTTGCTTTTTGTAGCAAGTTCTTCTCGAATTCCCGCCGCGTCTGCATTATCAGCTTCCTCAGTTTGTTCCTCGGTGTCTTGTAGGTGTTGAAGCATTCAGCTTGTCTAGTGACGCACTATTTTCTCCACAATTTGTGCTTCTGTTGATTTCTTTCTTGAGGTTGCTATTTAGCCACCCAGGGCGTTTGTTCAGTTTTACCCTAGTCAGTGGGCAGTGGTTGTTGATGAGCTGCAGAAGGACATTCTTGAACAGCTCCCAGTCGTCGTTGGCACTTCCCGTAAACAATGAGCCCCAGTCAAGACCGGATAAGTCTGCCCTCATCTGATTGAAGTCGCCCCGCCAAACGTTACGCCTTTTGTGATCTGGAGTATGTGAAATGGAGAATAACGAATAATTCCACATAAGCACTACGTGGTCACTTCGGCCAAGGGGCGGCATGGAGGCGATCTCGTCTATGCTGTCTGGTGTTTTCGTAAAGACCAGATCCAGGCAGTTTGCCCTTTGTCCTTCACGTGTTCTCGTTGGGAACATTACATGTTGTGTGAGGCACGCATTTAATGTCTTGCTCAACAGGCGGTAATCGAATGACGATTTTGGACCTGACGCTTGGAGGGTATTCCAGTTTGTTCCTGGTGCGTTGAAGTCGCCCATGATCATGATGTTAGGTCGACTGGAAAATTTCTCCAACTGCTCCAATAGTTGAGTGTCGGCGATTCGGTCTGTCCGAGGTGGTCGGTAGACAGTGAGGACATCGAGACACGGGGAACCGGTAGCCTTGATGGTCAACCAGATAGCTTCCGTACTGCACACAAACTTGGTGGTGTTATCCGACACTGCCAGACCGTCATTCACATACACAACGATACCACCACCCTGACGATGTTCCCTGTCCCTCCGATAAATTTGGTATCCAGGAAAGGCTACTTCGTTATCGCTAATAGTCCCGGACAGCCAGGTCTCAGTTACTGCTAAAACATCTGGAGACAGCTCAACAAGGCAAAGTTTTAGTTCGTCTAGTTTCGATAGGAGGCTTTGGGCATTCGTGTACAAGCACCTCAGTTTAGCACCAGCCGAATTTCCCGTTGCATTTGTTACTGCTGTGAGCATTACTCCGTTATCGCGGACGTCGTGTTCTCTAGGCTCTTCCGTTACCTGATTGGTTCCATTTACATGCCTTGTTTCAGTCAGATCACTGGACGCTACGGGCTCACTTGTGTTGGCGCCTTGATCAGGTGGTTCAACGAAGGTGCCTGTTTTAGCTGAGTAGCTGTCGTCGTTCGTAGTATTACAGGCTGGTTCCACTGAAACGGCATATATTTTCGAACTACCTTCCCCTTGAAGATAGCCAGATTGTGTTCGCCATCCTTCAGTCTTGATTTTAACTCCAAGACAAGTTCCCGGCGTTTCAACCGTTCCGCTGGTGAATAGTCCGGTTGAAAAAAACCTGCTTGTGTGTGTTTCTGAGATCGGTTTTTTTAGGGTGGATGAACTTGATTTGCTCTTTGTTCTCCAGCATAATTTTGAGAGGGCGAGGTGGTTGTGCTACTGTCCTGTCTTCACTCCTTTTTCCTATCCGGAATGCTTTCAGAACCCTTATTTCCATGTCTGCCGGCAGTAAATGATTTAGCAGACCATGAAAAGAAGCAAGGTCCTCTGAGACACGGTCTACAGGTCTGACTGCATTCGATTCTGACAAACCCTGAATAATCAGACACTGCTGGCGAGCATGGTCCTCCTTACTCTGTCTTTCCGGTGAATCCGCTGCATGTGGGCGAGGACGATTTACGGAGTCATCGCTTGGACGCACACTTTTACTGTCTACCGACTGTCCCGAGCAACCCATCAGGGCTGGCTGTGACTTCAGAATCCTGTCATGGCGTTTCCCTCTCCCCTCTACCCACGGGTTTATGTCTTCGCGTTCAGCTACGTGCTCTGTAGTGCGCTCAGGGTGGTTGCCAGAACAAGAGGGCAACAGTAGACTGGATGACCCAGGTATATCGTCTCCAGGCAAAACAGAAATCCCATCACTTACAGCAAGAGGCTTAGTTGAGATGGCTTCCGCGACATGTAACTTTTTTGCGACATCGCTTAAGACATCGTGCGTGGGAATCGAGTCTCCCTTTATCGGCGGCTTCATTTTCATTGTCCTGCTGTTACCGGCGTCTGCGGTTTTGGCTGTTGAGTTGCTACTCGTGTTTGAAGATACCCCCGAGGAGATATTTTTTCGCGTTTTTTGCGTTTTGCTCTTCGTTTTTGGGGTTCTAACACTGGACACGTTCTGGCCGACTACGGTCCGTTTCACGAGCGCCCTTAAATCAGCAAGCTCCTTTTCCAGTTGTTCTACTTTGATTTGAATATCTGCGCACCCACCACAAGGCTCGTCTTCGTAGCTCACACTTTTTGCGGTTTTTACGCTTTTTGCACGCTTTGCTGGTCGTTGGCTGGAGGCGAAGGTAGAGCGAGCACAGGTTCTGGATGCGAAGGACAACTCACCGGACTTATCTTCCAAAGAGGTGCCGTCGCTGGCCGTACTACTACAGTTAGCTTGCTGAGAATCCATAAACTTTGACGTGATATAATGTGTATAATTTCGCTTTCAATGATTTCCTGTCCAAAACGTTTATTGAAGACTCGACCACTCCGCTTCCGACCATCCAGTCATTGACCGGGGCAGTTCTAGAAACTATAACTTTCACTCTGTGGGATGTGACTGTTGCGATTCGGCGTTTTCGTCAATCTTATAATCCAGGTCCTGATGGTGTCCCAGTAAGCATTTTAAAAGCCGATGCAAACACTATCTTCCCATCTCTCTTATGCAAGATATTTAATCTTGCTCTTGAAAGTGAAACTTATCCTACCTTGTGGAAGGAATCACACATTTTGCCCATTCCTAAGCACGGCAAATCTACATCATTTGATGACTTTCGGCCCATAAACACCCTCCCCGCAGTTTCAAAGATCTTAGAGACATTGATCAAAGATAAGATGATGTGTCACTTAACAGCGAATAACTTACTGAGTGCTGCTCAGCATGGATTCCTCAAAGCTCGATCTTGTGACACCTGTCAACTCTCTTTCTTTGACTATGTTCTCCAATCTAGGGACAATAGTTTTGCACTTTACACAGTATATTTCGATTTCACTGAGGCTTTTGATCGTGTTGACCATGCTCTTCTTCTCTTGAAACTGTTCTCCTTCGGAATAGGTGGCAAACTTTTGAATTTTATATCCTCTTATTTGGGCACTCGCACACAACGAGTTAAGATTTCCAATACCATCTCCAACCCCACACGTGTGAGGAGTGGAGTCATTCAGGGTAGGGTACTCGGCCCGCTTTTATTTTGCCTTTTCGTTAATGATGTACCCGATTTATTTCAGAATGGTAGGCCTTTCATGTATGCCGATGATCTTAAAGTTGCATATCGATATAAGCCGGCAGATCATGACATCGTGCTTGAGCTCCTAAAGAGCGATCTACAGGCTTTCGCCCAGTGGTGCCGCACATGGCGCCTTTCTCTTTCTTGGCATAAGTGCTCAGTCATGGTGGTTGGCGACGACCGCCAACCTCAATTAAGTATTGAAGGTCACGCAATAAATGTGCCAGGGGTTATAAAGGATTTGGGCGTGTCATACTCCAAGAGTGTCAATCTCTCGGAGCACTGTGCCTTGATAGTCTCCAAAGCACGTAGAACGACCGGGTTTATCCTCCGAAATTTTAAAACTAGGGACATTAGAATGCGCCTTTTCAACATGTACGTTAGACCTGGTCTGGAATACTGTTCGTTTTCATTTAGCCTCATGCGTGCTACTGAGCGGACGAAAATAGAATCCGTTCAACACTTTTTACCAAGAGAATTTTAACCCGGGAACACCGACATTTGTCTTACCAAGAACGTTGCCGTCTTACAGGCCTCGATCCTTTATGGTTCCGTAGATTACAAAAGGGACTATTTTTGCTATTTAAACTCTTATATAATCACACATTTAACCCACTCACCTCTTTAAGACATCATATCCACCCACGACGTAACAGTCACCGTGAGGTCTTCTTATTTCTGCCTCTGGCACGTACTGTTAAATATCGTCGGTTCTTTTCTGTAAATGTAATTGCTATTTGGAATAAACTACCCATGAGTGTGAAAACTCCGCAAAATTATCCTTTATTTAAGAGAACTATTACTCGATTTTTGCATTCAGAAAAGCTCCCACAAATTTTGGGTGCTGAATCTACTGATCGACTGTACCGTAGCGATGGCGTTTGTGGTCTCTGAACACTATGGCCGGTCTCACCAGCTGTTCCTCAACGCCTCTACTTTGACTATCCCCAACTTCATGAAAGGAATTTGACGTCCGATAATCTCCGATACCGTGCAACCTCCCCCCTTCTTGACGGTCGATATTCTACCACCGCCGGCAGTTTTTTCTCCCGAGCCCTCCAAACCACAAAAACCACCATCAACTATATTTTTATCCCTTAAGCTCAGGAGTTTTTTTCACTACTGGTCGGATTTGTGTTTAATCGCTTCCCGTGACAATGCCTGTAAACTGGCATTAAATAAAAATTTATTTATTTATTTATCCGACGCCTCCCGTCATCTTGGACCCTGAACCCGAGAATCCATTTCGGCAACTCCTCGCCAAATACCCCGGCCTCACTCGTCCCACCTTCAACGTTTCTATTCCACCACATGACGTCGTTTACCACATTCGGACCACCGGCCCTCCCGTGTTTTCTCGCCCCCGCCGTCTCGCGCCTACACGTCTTGCTGCCGCCAAGGCCGAATTCGAGCATATGCTTCAAATGGGCATCATCCGTCAGTCTGAAAGCCCATGGGCCACACCCCTCCACATGGTTCCAAAGGCCGCCACTGGTGACTGGCGCCCCTGCGGTGATTACAGGGCCTTGAATAACGTCACTGTCCTGGACCGCTACCCTGTCCCACATCTTCAGGATTTTGCCGGTGCCCTATTCGGCAAGTCTGTATTCTCGAAGATCGATCTGATCCGTGCTTTCCACCAAATTCCCATAGCCCCAGAGGACGTTTCGAAGACGGCCGTTACCACCCCCTTTGGCCTCTTTGAGTTCCTGCGCATGCCGTTTGGACTTCGCAACGCCTCCCAGACCTTCCAAAGGTTTGTAGACAGAGTGCTTCGCGGCGTACCATTTCTCTACGCCTATATCGACGACCTTCTGGTAGCCAGCTCCACCACTGAAGAACACATGGAACATCTTACAACGGTTTTTGACCGCCTTCAACAAATTGGCGTTGTTCTCAACCCGTCCAAGTGCGTCTTCGGTGTGCCCTCCCTAGAATTTCTCGGTCATCTGGTCGACTCCCACGGCATTCGGCCTCTTCCCTCAAAGGTTGCCGCCATTCGGGACTTTCCACCCCCTACCTCGAAGCGTCAGTTGCAACGGTTTCTTGGTATGGTGAACTTTTATCGCCGGTTTCTCCCGAACTGTGCCGATACCATCCTACCTCTGACCAATCTCCTCTCAGGTTCTAAACGCACCTTTGAACTTACACCAGCAACACTCACGTCATTTGAGCAGGTAAAAGCCCTTCTGGCTGATGCCACCCTCCTGACTCACATTTATGCTGATGCACCCATATCTCTGATGGTCGATGCCTCCAATGTTGCTGTTGGCGCGGTTCTTTAACAAAGTCTTCCGGATTCTACCGTGCCTTTGGCTTTCTTCTCCAAGACACTATCCAAAGCCGAAACCCGCTACAGCACATTCGGACGTGAACTTCTTGCCGCTTATCTTGCCGTAAGGCACTTCCGGCAGTTACTCGAAGGTCGAGAGTTCACAATTTTCACTGATCATAAGCCACTCACGTTTGCAATACATTCCCACTCTGGCAAGCTAAGCCCCTGGGAGATCCGTCACCTGGACTACATTTCGCAGTTCACTTCAGACATCCGCCATATTGACGGGTCAAGGAATGAGGTGGCTGACGCTCTGTCCAGGCCCTCTATTGCTCATCTTCAGCTTTCACCCGGGATAGACCTCGCTGAGATGGCCGCTGAACAACGCCGTGTCGGTCCACCCTGTGATGAGGATGTTTCCGGACTCCATCTTCAGGAGCTACCACTGACAACTGACAACGGCACTATTCTATGCGACGTATCCACCCCATCTCATCGTCCATTTGTACCACCATCGCTCCGCCGCAAAGTTTTCCCCTCCCTGCACAATCTGTCTCACCCTGGGAGTCGAGCAACCGACAAGCTGGTTTCCAACCGCTTCGTCTGGCCTGGTATGCACAAGGACCTCAAGGCATGGACACGGGCTTGCATCGCCTGTCAACGGAGCAAGATCCAGCGGCACAACAAGGCCCCCATTGGCACCTTCCCCGGTCCTGGTGCAAGGTTCAGCCACGTTCATTTGGACATTGTAGGCCCCCTGCCTCTGTCCAATGGTTGTTCCTATCTCCTCACCTGTGTGGATCGGTTCACTCGGTGGCCTGAAGCAATTCCCCTGCCTGACATTGCTGCTCCAACGGTGGTCAAGGCTTTTCTCAGTCGTTGGGTTGCTATCTTTGGTGCACCCTCCACAATCACGACTGACCGTGGTGCCCAATTTGAATCTCACCTCTTCCAGTCTTTACGCTCCTTTTTAGGCTGTACTCGCATCCGCACTACAGCCTATCATCCGGCAGCCAACGGGATGGTCGAGCGGTTTCACCGTCAGCTGAAGGCCTCCCTACGCGCCGCAGACGATCCGGAGAACTGGACAGACCACCTCCCCCTAGTCCTCTTGGGCATTCGCTCCTCCATCAAGTCGGACCTTGATTGTTCTGCCGCTGAACTCGTGTTCGGTGCCACCGTCCGACTTCCCGGTCAGATGATCTCGCCAACCCCGCGCGTTGCAGTTGAGGATCCCACCAACCTCCTGCATCGCCTCCGGCAATTCCTGCGGACACTTTCTCCGGTCCCGCTCAGGCCATCCGTCTCCGAATCTTACCTCGAGAAAGATTTGGCGACATGCTCTCACGTCTATATCCGATGTGACCGAGTACGCCGGCCCCTGGAACCACCCTACGATGATCCCTTCCGAGTTATCTCTCGTGGGACGAAGAACTTCTGCATCCAACGCGGCACTCGCGAGGAGGTCGTGAGCATGGACCGTCTCAAAGCTGCCGTCCCGGACACTCCTCCGGATGAGCCCTGTGGTCCCCTACCCCCTGCTCCGCCTCCCGACCCTCTATTCCACCGTCCCGTATACTTCCTCTGCCCTCATGTCCACAACTCCCAACTGCAACTACCCCTTCATCAACAAACAACACTGTAACCGCGAGCCATACTCACTCTAATCCTGTGGCCCCTGTATATATCACCCGTAGTGGACGCCATGTTCACTTTCCTGACCGTTTCATTACTCATGTTTTTTAGACATCAGCAGTTCCTTCGGTATCGCTACGCGCCACCTTCGGTCTAGCCGTGGGGTACTGTAGCAGTTCGCGTCTCCTCACCCTCCGCCTTTGTCATGCTGCCCTCCTGTCCGCCTCACACTCCGTGTCGATACGCTGCAGGGACGCGCAAGTGCTCGAAGCCATTCAACGCTGTCCCCACTCTGATTGGCTGGCGACGTGGAGACAACGAAAGCCCCTACACGCGCTGACACAACACCTCGAGGGCAGACGCAGACAACAGCTTGCTTGGAGCGCGCTTGCGGCGACTGCCCACACAGCCTCTGTGTACACGCTTTCCAAGCAGTAAAGTTTGTCCAACTCAAACCGTCTTCCCTGACTTTCGATTGGGAATCTTTATCTTGTCGACCACACAACCTACGACAGCTTATGCTCTTGAATATAAGCAGATCGGCAGCTGAAGAGCCTCCAGCCCCAGGACCTAATTTCTATGCGACACATCACTGCAACAGGTTGACAATCAGAAGGACATGGGTGTATGGCTTAAATATTCACTCAAACCAACACTGCACTTTGCGAAGGCGGCTAAATCGACTACGGCTACACTGTAAATCATTTGGCGAGCCTTTTTGGGATTTGACCCCGACTGCTTTTTCCAAAATATTTGGTATCTATGTGCGGCATCATCTAGAATACGCCATACAGTCATGAAGATCTTGGACTGTCAAGGACCAAACCTTCTTAGAGAAGGCCAGAAACAGGTGACAAAATGCCAAAAAGCTTGAAAGCACTGCCCTATGAGAAATGACTATCAACTCTCAGCCTGTTTCCCCTTTCCTACAGGCAAATATGTGGTGACCTTACACTAACATTCCGCATTAAAAAAGACCTAGACTATTGCTTAGATCCCATTGATAATATCATTCAAACCAACACGCCAATTTTGCTCGGTTTTCCCCTGAAACTACGCGCAGATAAAGCAGGGATCAATTGACGGATGTTTTCTATTAGTAACAGAGTGGTTGCAGTGGGGAATGCCCTGCATACTGAATTTGTATTCTCCTCCTCTGTGGACTCATTTAAGTGTAGATTGACGCTACAAGTTTTATCATTACACTCAGCCATATAACCGTCACCCAACAAACATGTGTCTATACTACATACAGTGAGTAAGTAACCCTTAATGATCGCTATTTTTCGACTAGCTGGCAGCTGCCTGCCTTTCATATGTAGTTGTGTACAAAATTCCTTTTTAAACTTTTCACTTATCAGTGCTTTTCTTAACCGACTTGTAAGAAATAGGGAGTTTAAAGGCGCTCGCCTATATTATCCTCCATGAAACTGAACTGAACTGCATGCTCGTGGACCGACCACAGCAGATGCCGTGACAAAGAGGCGGTCCGGACATGATAGACGGTAGATAACGAATAAAATCCTGCTCGTTTCGTCCCCCACCACGCTGAGCTTTGTTATTTGGAAGCCCTAAACTGTAAATCATATTCCATACTTTCCAACCGTCTCTTTTCGACAACTCCAGTCTTTGTGCAACAATCGAACGATATCTTCGTGTGAATCTGAGGTGCATATAAGCCAACGCAGAAGAGATGGCCTTTGGTTGGCGGCAACACTTGGCACGCATAGTTGCGTGAACTCTCAAGTCGACGCCGATCTTTACTGCTGAAACTCATATAGGATTGGATTCTCACTGGACGAAACACAAGAGCTATTGATGACTAAATATCCACAAAAAGGGTACACAGTCTATGTATTCTTGCTGGCGGATTATGCGCGAAATCAAATGGATTATTATTATGAAGATCGAACAAGTTCACATTTAGGGCATGAGACAAACTCAGCGGACATTTGCATAATTGAAATTGGATGTCGAAGAGTTACAAGGGCTTGCCAGAACGCCAATGGGAAGATTTGATAGCAAATTATCAGAATATGACATGCAACTATGAAACACTGAATTCAGTGCACTATCCAAAGAAAAGTAGCCAGCCGAGAATAAGCAGTGGCATTTACAAACCGAACTGCGACAGTATATTCACACACAAGCAGTGTACTTCAGATTGCTTGTAGACAAATAAACACATACCTCCGTAGTTACAAATCAGGGTAATTCCAACATTAAACCAATGAAATGGAGAGAAAACTATTGCGTTTAAAGTATAATAAATCCCCTAAATCGGACTTTTTCTGCCTGACGCTTCTAAGCGTCTTGCCAAATACCATCCTCTCCCATAAAGTTTTCTCGAGACCAACATAGGGACAATTAGTCGCGTAAGTGGCCGCATACCACACAGTGAACTTTCCGCTGCGTCTGACTAAAAATGCTCCAAAACCCGTCTTAACAATGTACTGATAGCTCAAATAAAAACAATCTATTTTAGGGAGTTTCGTGTCTAACAAATCTAATCACGAGTAATCCTAAGCCTCAAACTATACGGTAAATAATATACGACAGTTATTATTTACAGCACCAACATGATTGATATCTAGAGTAGCCTCTTGATTTCTGGGCATTTTGTATGTTTGGTCGAGCCGGGAAAATGCTTACTTGTATTAAGAGTTTCCCAATACGTAAACTCTTCAGGAAAAGGCGTTTGAATCATCAAATCTCCTGACACTTAGCACATAGGGGCTCCAAAATGTAAAAGACTAACACTGTTATTATCGTTAAGTTACGTATTCAACCAGAAGTTCTAGAATAACCCAGTTCCCCACACCTACTAAAATGTTGTTCGAGTTTATTTGGATCCAACTGTAAAAAATGTTGTTCGAGTTCATTCGGATCCAACTGTAAAAAATGGGGCCTTCGTTGGGATTCGTACTCACGAGAGCAAGATGAGCTTTTAGAACAGCCAACACTCTAGCAACCTGAACGTTATGGCTGAAGCCATCGGCCCCCTTGAGGTTAACGTCCAGCGCTATACATCGGGCAAAGTTTATTCTCTTAACACTTGGATTGACATTGATGCTAAACGTAGAATCTGTCTGAATGGCATCTCGCAGAACAGAAGCTGAGATATGTGCCCCATGTCTAGTTCGGTAACTAAGAGAATCATGGCAGCTGGCCCATTAGTAGCTGGACTACCAAAGTCTCCTTATATTTTTTAAAAATCTGAATAAAGCATTTAACTACTTCGCATCGGATTTATTATACTAGTGTTCCTGGCAGTTGTGCGAGAAGCATCGATTACCGAAACGGACGTACACTGTAAACAGAGCAATATACAGTTTATCTTGTCTGTTATCGAATTTTTTTACTTACAGCGAAGCCATACTACAATATTTTTTCCCCAATTAGTGTACCAAAGCATACAATTCATATGCGTGACTATTTTTCCACGCTAATCGATTTACATAGTTGGTTTATAAGCTGCAGATCGATTTTGTGGCTGTTAAGATTGGTTCTTCGGTGATGTTTTCACTTTCATTTGAGTGGAGGATTCGCTGACAATGTTAGTTGTTTGTTATTTACCTAGCAGTGGTGTTATCAAACAACTAAGGACTTATGTGGTGTGGCAATTAAAATCAAAAGTATCGGCTGTGGTTAATACTTGAATCCAGTGCTAAAGATCAAAATACACATTAGCCTGCCAGCAAATGGCCCGTTCATAGGCGGGGCTGGGTGGAGCCGGAGCCCCCTCTGGATTGAAGCATTTTGAAGCGTATTTGCATCAAAGGTTATGTTTCAAAAGCACCACTCGTTGTACCTTTTTTGGAATTAAAAGGAGCTATTTATCAAAAGCGGCATATAAATCATGGAAAATCACCCGTTTACGCCCACTGAACGTTGCTGCGGATGAGCTCAATATATTGAGGTTTTGTTTATGTCGCTCATTGTATAAATTTTATTTGTCAAGCGGTTGACAGCTTAGCCGAGCTGTGCGTTACTACTTCGTACATTTGACAATTTGTCGCGGGTAATATCGTGCGTCAAACAATGCAGTTTTCATGCTCTTGATAGCTGCCTTAGTTAATTTATGTATGCTATGCTAATTGTTTGTTTGTTCATGTAGTTGACTTGTGTGTCTATGTATGTACTATTTAGCCTTGGAGTTCGTAGTCCACTTATACAAATTGTTTATATATATAAAACGATATCGTTTTCTACTGAATATCCAAAGCAGTTATGAAGCGTAATTACTGTGGCTATCACCCAGTCACCATATACAAGTGCATTAAGCGCCAGATGAAGGCATATTATGAGGCCACTGAAGAGCCTGAGCCGGACGTTTACTCAACGTCGACGGCAGTTGGCAATCCATCCCCCGAACGGGAAATGCTTATACTGAACTCGGAAACTTCTGTCGGTAGGTATTATGAGTGTGTAAACGAATAATGGGTGTAGAGTCCGTGGAGGACATGGACGACACAAACACAGTTGGAGGCAATTCCTTTCTGGAGGCCTTGAAAGAATACGCCCTGGAAGTGCAAATGCCTTTGTCTAATACCAAGAAGTTATTTAATATGTTACGGCATTTTCATCCGGAAGTACCTAAGGACCCACGAGCGCTATTGCTAACGCCTCGAGTGTGCAATTAGAAGCCGTTAAGTTACGGCACCTACGTTCACTTGGGTCTCACAGACGGTCTGCTTCATGAGCTTCGTCTTCGTTCGAGAACAAGTATTTCCGACACGCATTCAAGTGCACATCGACGGAATGAAAGTTTTTAAAAGTTCCAACCGGTGCCTATGGCCAATATTAAGTCGTATTAGCCATCCGGTAGTTGGACAACCCTTTGTTTTCGGCGTTTTTTTTCCGGATCTAGTAAGCCAGAGCCCCTAGACGACTTCTTAAATGACTGTATAATGGAACTGAAGGGATTACTTGCTACTGGCCTGTGTTTCCCATGGACAGGGCAGCTTATAAAAATAGCCCTAGAGAATGTCATCTGTGATACGCCCGCTC